GGGCGCCGGGGGAGCTCGGGGCGCGGTGCGGGCACCGAGTGCCTCTGGGCACCTCTGCCGTCGCGGTGAGAAGTCGCTCGTAGTCCGTGGCAATGCCGTGCTGTGTTTTGCAGAGCTGTGGATCTCGCTGGAGGAGCACCAAGATGCGTTAGAGCTTATCATGAGCAAATACAGAAAGCAGATGTTGCAGCTTTTGCAAGGCAGAAAAGGTGAAGATGCAGAACCAGTCTTGGAAGTTCATCAGGCTAATTCTTTGGTAAGGTGGGACGGGGACAAAAGAGGGCTCAAGACTCCTGTTCCCTGTCTCTTGCATGCTTTCTTACCACCTTTGTTTCCATTCATGGAACATCTCTGCTCCAGAACACTTTTTCTGAGATTCTTGTCTCTGCTGGTATTTTTTTCTCTATTCCTTTTACAGCACACAAGTTGCAACAGTTACCACAGAGGACACACAAAAGCATAACCCATTTGAGGCCCAGGCAAAGGCTTGCTCTGTAATGTGCCGAGTGGTAAATTCCCTGGGTTAAGCTTAGTGCACATGATTCTCTACAGTAAAGTCAAAGGCATCAGAGTTGTTTCTGTTCCTCTTCAGTAACAAAGGGAGAAGAACCTCCTAAATCTCTGTGAGCTCCAGTATGTTTAATTCTTAAGAAATCATCACTCCCAAATGTTTTTAAATCCAGGTGCTCTGTGCAGTGGCCTGAAAGTGCCCCTTCATCCATGTTGGGTGCAGTGACTTCAGAATTCTTAGGATGTGGCTGCTGATAACTGCTACCTGTTTCACGTTTCAGTATCTAATAACAATATAATAACATTAAATCTCCATTTAAGGCTTATGAGTTAAGTTAGGCATTTGTTAAAATGCATTTTTATGTGATTAGAGAACACCAAGCTGGTTCAACCAGTGACATCTCGTATCTTTCGTTTTTCTAATTGGAACTGGAGCCAGCCTAACTCTTTGCGTATACGTCTTTGCATTGGTATGTGGCAACTGATTAGTTCTCTGTTCTCTCAAGTTAGTAGCGTAGCAGTGTCTTGCTTCTCACGCTTGCTTAGTGAATGAATTGCTCCGTTTATTAACACTTGAACAACACTTCTGACAACATTCTCTGGCACTGCTTTTGGTCCATTTTAATGGCATGGAAATGCAAAGGCTCTGAAGGAACCTTTGATGGAGTGTTCCTGGACTATCTCAATATCTACGCAAAATCTTCTGTACCTCAGACTTAAGCCCATGAGGTTTTTTCCTACCCATCACTTGGAGAATAACAAAAAACTTTTAAATATCTTTTACAGAGCTATATTCTTATTATAACCATCTTAGTTTAGAAAAAAAATCATTCTTTCTTCCCAGGTTAAGATATCTAAGTCTTTCTTGTTCTTCCAGCTCTCTTCTAGATGATCTCATTTTTTTACATATTTTCCGAATAATAGAATTCAAAACTGACCTCTCTCTATGGTGATACGTTTATCTCCCAGAGGCAGTGGAATAACTACTGACACTTAGAGAAAAGAAACTCTACCCTATAACATTATCTGATATTCCCCAAAGTGCTTTGTGATAACCTTGTATTTTTATGTTATGTTAAAATGCTTCAAAAATCTCCAAATTCTTGTCTTTCTACTTCTTGCCAATTACTGACATTTTTGGGTTTGTGCATTTGAGTTCCTTTCTAAACACTGTATTTCAAAATGAATGCTCTTCAAACAGGAACTGTTGCTACATATATGTTGGAATTTTTCAGTGTTCATTATATGTTCATTTCTGAGCCGCAACAAAAATGCTTCTTCCAAAGGATTAGAGCTGTATCTAGACAGATTCTGTAGAAACTGCCTCAGGAGGCTCTGGTCTTACTTGTTTTAGTTTCTTTGCTTGACTGTTTACTTCACAGTTACCTAGTTTTGAAATCTCATTTGCTTTTATATTTGGCATTTTTATAAATTCAGTTGGGCTTTTCTAATAAAGCAATATAAAATTTGCTGCATGTCAGTCATAGTCACATGAAACCGAATCTGTTGTCTCAGTCTTTGTCACACTTGAAATTATTTCCATCTTCGTAAGCAAGTGTGCTTTATTTTGCTGACTGATATAATTCTGTTTGCTGTTTTCATTGATGACTCATGATACTGGACAATAAGGTACATGTTTTCATCTTTAAGTATTATACAAAGGATTTCAAGTGCTTGGAAGGAAAGGATTAAAATTCAAACCAGGAAAATAATCCAAAATTGAGAAAATTAAAGTTACTGATTTAGAAGGGATAAATTATTTCTGCTGCTTTTGCCTGAATATGTTTTGCTTTTGAATATACTATTTTTATGTCTTTCAGGAAATGGAAAGTCAAATAGACAGAATATGTGAGATGGGAGAGGTGATGAGAAAAGCTATTCAGGTCGATGATGATCAGTTCTTTAAAGTTCAGGAGAAACTAGCTCAGTTGGAGGTAAGAACAGATAAAATTGCCAAGGATAGATCATGCTTTGGGAGTCTCTAGACTTACTCTGGACTTTGTATGTGTCAGGATTTTATAGCAATCCAGAATTTGGGGGAGGGGTCAGGAAATGCAGAACATGATCTGTTTACTTCCAAGTCTGTTTGTGTTATATATATGAAGCCAGAAGCAGAAGATAAGCTTCCTCTCTTGCTAGCACTGTATGAATGCTTATGTTACAAAATTAGCTATTTAAAGATTATCGTCTTTAAATTGTGAATTAGCTCATTTCTATTTCAGCAAAAATATTGATTTTGCAGCTTGAGAACAAAGAGCTGCGTGAACTGTTGTCAATCAGTGAAGAATCTTTTGAGGTGGTGAAAGAAGATCTGCCTGACTGAAGCTCAGGTCACAAAGTAACCTGTCTCCAAATCTTGACTTCAGAGACTATTAAGAAACTACCCTACAAGGATGTGTTTTGATTTGTTCTTTCAGATGTTTCCTTGTATGTTTCTTGTGTCTTTCAAAATGTATGGGCCGTTTTCTCTGCATTTTTCTGAAATTACATAATGTTTGATGGCAAAGGCTTGCATTGCTGCTCTGTCTTAGTAATTGCAGCACACAGATGCTTAATGATGGAAGTATTTGATGTGTACTCCCTTGTGATAGTTTATTTCCTCTCCTGTTTGTTAGTTAATTCTAGCTGTGCAGATGGCACTTAAATCCACCTTGTCAGAAGCTAGAGAACATAATGCAGGTTGTGATTATTTTATTTGATAGAAGGAATAAGAGATTAGTTAAAAACTACATTGTAAATGGTAGGTACATGTTTTGCTCTGCCTGTACAAAGCAGGCGTGCAGAGCGTTTGTTTTGCTTTGAAGAGCTAACACTCAGTGTTTGGCTGGGTTAACGTTACGACTTGGACAACTGCTTAGGTCACATCAAGAGGACAGCAGATAGCCAGGAGGGCCCTGGAAGTGGTAACTCACACAGGGAGCATACTGTGCCTCGATTTACGGGTGAGAATCAGTGGATGACCCTTTCTGACACTGTGCATTTATGAAGGACGTTGCATATGTGACCGATATTTTTTTTGTTTTGTTTTGTTATGGGTTGGCCTGTTCCAGCTTTACCAGTGCCCCAGGGTACGTGGATACTGGCTAGCTCTGATCTGAAGGCAGTGCACTCAAACCCTGCACAGAACACAGCACTTTCAGATCAAAGCTTTTTGGCCTCCCACTACCACTTTGGACTTCAGGAAGAGTAAGCTGAGGTCTGCCTCAAAACTAAACCAAAACCAGCCATGTAGCCAGGTTTTTAATGTTGTGTCACAAGTAAGTCTAGTGACGTCACATAGTTATTGCAGAATCCTATATTGAGTGAAATTACAGTTGCAGTGTTGTATCAATATTGTGATATTTTTAATGACATTTTAATGTAAAGATTTCCGTCTTTCTTACCTGTGATCAAAGAATAATCCTCCAAGAACAGTAAAATCTCATTTCCAATATTAGTTTAAATTTTTTTGCCTCTTTTTCCCGAGTGAGAATTTTGAAAGATGCAGAAGGTGATTCACGTTCCTGTGCTTATTAGAGAGACATTTTCTTGCAACCATTCGGAATATCCAGCAAGATTGTTTGGTAGATACAAGGGATTTCTGTACAGGAGTTTATTTCTTGTATACAATCATTTTCTATTAGAAATTGTATAAGAGGAAATAAAAAAACCTAATAGGCAGTATTTTCTCCACGTGTATCCTGTTTTGTGAATCCTGAGAATTCCGTCTGTTCTGCATATACCCAAGCCTTTTGCACCCCCTCTAATTTTCACCTGGCTTGAATGAAATATTAAGTGACGAAAAATGCAACGTTTTATCTCTTTTAAATTAACATAATCTGAAATGCCTGTGACGATGCCCTTTTACCGTCATTATCCCAGCGTAGGTTAACATTCCTCTAGTTGGCTGGTTGCTGTGCAGCCTGAAAAAATGGCAACTAAATAGCAGTTGCTTTGACTACCGAATTTGTCATGAATTCGTAGCGGGCCGTAATTAACAGGGGAAGGTTAAACGCGCCATTTCCTGCTGTCCTGCTCTGGGTCTGTCAGTAGGGAGCGTGCGGACGTCTGGCTGTGCCCGGTGCTACGGGCTGCTGGGCATCTCTGACCGTGACAACCGGGCTCGGGCT